TGCATTCCTTGCTCGCACACCCGTTCCTAAGTATAATGTCTTTGAGCCTTTTTACATTCCTCAACCTTTATCTCACTCGCATATTAATCCTGCTGAGGGCCCCCTCCTTCTTGAATGCTAACTCATTTGCTAATTTGAAACTAGCTATGGAGTCTCACATTTGAAGTGCATCAATGCAACTATGGTGGATTGTGGACAATGGTTTCAAGCCCAAGGATCCCTTTAATCTTACTCGAAGGGAAGACGTTGATGATCAACTCAATGTTATCACTCTTAACATGTTGCATCTTGTTGTGACCAATGATTATAGTGACTCAGTTGTTCTCTTCAAGTCCGCCAAAGAAATTTGGGATTGTCTTGAGGAGGCACTTGAAGATGATGAAGCGATTCAAAGGTCTTGGTTGGCCTTGCTCAAGAAAGAGGTTAATTTGTTTGTGAGAAATGAAGGTGAAACCGCAGATGATGTGTATCAAAGGTTGAAGTCTCTTGTGCTCAATTTGAGAACCTTCCGATGCACTTGGGAAAATGATGATTTCATCAAAGATAACCATTGATGCCATGGTCTTAACGGAGCATGCTATGGTGATGATTGTTCATCAACGTACGCATCACAACAAGTTGACTCCGGCTCAGGTAGTATTATCCTTCTCCACCCATGGTTTTTTGGATACTAAGTCTAAGAGAACCTTTGGTATTGCTCAAGCGGCCAAGAACCCAAAGCTTGCTTTGAAGGCCAAGAAAGTGGTTGTGCGCTCATCTAGGGAAGAGTATAAAGAGTAAGAAAGTGTTGAGGAACAAGTTGACATATTGTGCCTGGTAAATGACTTTGAAGAAGACTTGACCCTCTTGGTAAAAAATTATCCGGGCACCATGGAAAATAAGGGGAATAATATCAAGGTAAGATCCTTTGGGAGAAGAAAGTGCTACAATTGTGATAGCCCAAGACACTTTGTTCATGACTGTTCCTGACAGCTACTGCCTTATATGTTCTCCACACTTGAAATACTAAGGCACAAAAATTGTAAATCCAAACTAGAGACATCACAAGAACACACAGATGACGAATCCCGCTGTGAGTAGTTCAAATAGAGCTATAAATTTTGTCCATGATCACTATCAACATGGAACTTGGCCTTTTTTCCCAAAAAATCTTAGGGCTCCTCTGCCTCCCGTCGGTCTGCCTTGTCTCTGATGGCCCTGGGGCCATGGAGGCACGGTGGATCATGGCCCTTGCCGCCAGGAGGGATCTTGCTTCGTTTTTAGGCATTTTTGTGAGCTCGCTTAGTTTTTATGTCATATCCAGTAAGACGAGACGGTGGCGGCTCCCTAAAGATGGAATAAAGTTCTTCGTGCTTAGCCCAAATCCGGTAATGCATCTAGTGTCGTCCGAGGGCGAGTGAAGGTGGGTGCATGACAGATCTTGCAGGATTCGGTCGGTGTTAGTCTTAGGTGGATATGTTTGGGTCTTCGTTCATGTGTCTACATGTTCGATCCTTTTGATATACACTTTTCTTCATCGACGACGGTTGCTGTTATGGTGCGCTGATCGTGTGGGGTCTTAGCACGACGATTTCCTGACCTTCTACTAAAACAAGATTGTCCCGGTTCCGGTGAGGGAGGCTGATGATTGAGGCGGATTCACTCCAGTGCTTGTAGTCGTCATGAGGTGGTCTAGGACACAGATGCAATTTTTGTTATTCTTGTGTTCTTTGTAGTGCCATGATATAACGGGTAGATCAGGAGTTTCCTCGCAAAATAAACTTGGGGCCTCTTTGATTCGTAGGATTTCCAAAACGTATGAATAGGAAAAACTTAGGATTAGAGTGGCATGTCATCTTGAATCCTACAGGATTGTACAAGTTTTTGATTGTGCATAGAAAAAATGCAGGATTCTTTCAAAGAGGTTTGAGTGGATGGAAAATTTCCTATGAAATCTAGTGCAAATGAATCCTATGAAAAAATTCCTATGGTTTACAATCCTACGAATCAAACAACCCACGCAGGAAAAATTCCCAAGGATTAGAATCCTCCAAAATTCCTTTGAGAATCCTTTGAATCAAAGAATCCCTTGTCCTTTTTCCTCCTTGAGCTATTGTTAATGCGACCCACAAAAAAATCCATTTTGATTTTCTAGAATTAAAAAACTATTTTGAATATTTTTTGAGGAAAAAAACTATTTTGAATGTGATGGATTTTGGTGCTAGATGGAAACGTTGGGCCGGCGCTGCACAAGACCCACGCACGCGGTGCCCAGCAAGCTCGCACGGATCAGAGCCCACAGGCGGAGGGAAAAAAACCTAGCCACGTTTACAGATACACCACAGTACAAATCCACTATTTCCAATATCACACCCCAAACCGAGCATTCGCGCGGGCCAAGAAAAACACCAAAGCAAGCGAGGGGAAATGCAAAAATCGCATATCTCGCGGCCGGAGGGCGTGGCCCTCAATCAATCGGGAGACCCGGTGCGGTGCCTCGCCCTTCCTATAAACACCGAGCCGCCGCCGTCTGCCTCGCCCAAACCCTCCCCAAAACCCTAGCTGATTC